CCAATGCTGTGTCAAAGATATAAGAGGGAGTTGGAAAACAAGATTGGAAGGGAGTGTTACCTCAGGAACAACAGTGTTGAGAAGGAGAAGTGGGATGTTACTAGGGAAAAGGTGTCTTGAGTAAGGGGACAGTATCAAAGGAAGATGGAGAGGCCCAGGGGACAGGTTTGGATAATGGCCAGAGTCTGAGCTAAGAGGTCCCAGGAGGTGGTAAGAGATAAGAAGACAGTAATAGCCAGACTTTTGTGATGGTATTCCAGGGGAGCAGATGTTCTGACGACTTGCTTTGCTTACTGTCTTCAATATTGACCAGCTGTGTGATTGGAGTAAAGGTGTTTATATCTCTGAGCCTTAAGATCCTTTTTTTTTAATTTTAATTAATTTTTAAATTTTACTATATTTTTCATTACCATTTATTCCTTCTATATCCTCTTCCCTCTTACACCTCCACCTCCACCCTCCCCCCTGCATCTGAGTTTTAGAGTCTTCTTAGGAATAATAATGGGCCTCATTGGGTTGTTGGGTACAAAGTGAATTAGTCCCAGTGACTAAAAGGTTGGCACTTTGCTAATCATTGAGACCTTCTGGATGCTGTTTATGGTTGTTCCAGCCTTGGGAACCAGTCTTCCTTCATTCAGGGATATTTATATCCAGCCTTCTATGGTTGGTGGCAACATGTGTAGCAAGTCCTGTGTGGCTATAAGCCACTGGCCAGCTCCAGATCTAAAGAACACTGTCCTCGGAGGTAAACAAGGTTGAGATGGAAGTCTGAGGTGTAAAGTGAAGAATGGAAGTGGTAGATGGATGCAGAATTTAGGGCACCAGAAATTCTCTGAGGTGGAGGCCATGAGTCCATTTTATTCAGGAGATACTTCTTGGGTGTTCCTTAGTATGGCACAGTGAGAAGGGCAGGGACTATCTATGCAGCCTAAAAACCTAAGTTCATTTTCACCTTTGCTACGTAATGTCTGTACCTTAAGCACCCTGGAACCATTTCCATTTTTTACAAAATGGAGATATGAACCACCACTGGTAGTGGATTTTAATGTTAGAAATGATGTCTATAAGGCATCTGTCTTGGTGCTTAGCACATAGTTAACATCTTGTAATTGGGAATTATTAATATTAAGGAACATTGCTGGGATTGAAGGGACAAGAAAGGTAAATCAAAGTGTCTCGGTTCTCCAGGGCTTTCCAAGGGAGTGGGAGATACAGAAGTGTACACGGAAGTGGCTTTTAATCCAAGACAGACTGTGATAAGTGCTCTAACCAGAAGCCCAAGCTATGTGGAGGAGCTATTGCAGGGACAGAACTATTTCAAGGTGAAAACTTGAGAAGCTTTGAGTTATGAAGTGAGGTAGTGAGGGTAGAGGATTTAATCAAAAGGAAGGAGGTCTGGGATAGAGGCTGAGGGGAAGACCATGGGAAGTTGGGGTTTGTGTGAGAAGCACAGAACTTCCCCTCAAGATATGCACTCCTAATTTCTCCTCAGGGTCCCTCTGTGGTCCCCTCGCCCTCTCCACCCTCTTCACCTTTCACCTGCTCAAAAACTCTAGATGATCCTCCTAGGAATCACCTGTTCTGGTAGCTACACTTTGCCTGGGGAATATGTGGTATCTGAGAGCCCCCCCCCACCACCAGTCCAAAGTAACATGTCTGAACTGAGACAACTCCAAAAGAAGGAGCAGGAGATGGGGTCCTGACTCCCATGGAAGCCCACACACTCAACATGCATCTCCCTGCCCTTCACTCTTTGACTCCATTTCTCAGCCACCCTCAGCTATTTTCTTTTCTGCCTGCAGGCCTGGGTCTCCTTGACTCCAAATGTGGAGACTTTCCTGTTGCTATTCTCTAGATCTTTTTCTTTCCTGGGATTTCTGGCCAAATTCTCTTCTTCCTTTCTTGCTTTTTCTTCAGTCTTATTTCTCTCCTTCCCTCTTCAACTCTCTCTGCCTATCTTTTGTGTGGATTTCTCAGTATCTTTTGTGCCTCCTACTGGGTCTATGTAAGTTTGTATACTCCTGCTCCAGCTGGTTTGTTCTGCTTCTTCATGACAGCTGCCTAGGAGCTCACCACATCTGTGATGGTATCTGAAAACAGAAAGGGAATTGGATCAAGGCAGGTGGGAATTCTTTTAAAAACACATGCAGGTTCACCCTCACCTTAGACTGGTGCTGCCAGGTGTGCAAGGCCATTTATTTGATACTGCTTTCTTGTTCTGTCTGTGTCCAGTCCTGTTCTGGTTCTCCTCTCATCTGGCTCCTGGGCCCCACATCACCATTCCACAGTCAGGTATTTGTCTACATTTCTGTTTAGCACTGCTTTTATTTCCTGGAAATGGGGTATGGGCAGAAGAATGTAACTGAAACTTTGCTCCTAGTTCCCATGCAGATGTTGCTCTGTGTCAAGAATGGTGGAAGATCAGGTACATGTTCTCGGCATTGTGTGTATCCTTGTTAGCCACTGTTACTGACTGGTTCTTGGTGCCTTCTTGACACTCAAAGACACACACAGTGCCCCTTTTTTGTTTGTAATGCCACCAGGACATCTCTGCCCTTCCTTTTGTGTCCTGTCCTATGCTGGCACCCCATTGCTCACTTGCTAGGCTTTTTCCTCAGCAATTTCCATATTCTTTTATGACCATCTGCGTCTCTGCATCACTTCATCAGAAGCTTCCAGAGTTCTGTTTCTCCCACCCAGTCCAAGTCTACTTCCTCTTTCAGGGAGCCTCCCAGGACTGACTCCAAGCCCTTCCCCAGCACTTTTCTTCCTTTCACTGCAACGACTGGAACACATGTCCCTCCAGTCTTCTGCCCTGTCTCTGCCTTTGCTGGAGTCTATGAGCCTGAACTGGAGCAGGCAGTACTCTGCCTTCTTTCCTTGTTTCAAAGGGTAGGACTTTGCTCAGGAATCCACTCACTTTTAGTCCATCAATCAACAGACTTACTCAGAATACCTACTATGTGCCTGGCAGCCAAAGCCAATAATAGGTGATGGGGCTGGAGCTCTGAACAACAAATTCCAGATACAAAGAATCCCCCCAGAGCAGCAAGGGGGGTGGGCAGTGCAATGTGGACCTTTTTTTAAAAAAAAATTTATTGACTATGCTATTACAGATGTCCCATTTCCCCACCTTCATTACCCTCCACCCTGCACATCCTCTCCCACCCACATTCCCCCCCTTTAGTTCATGTCTATGTGTCATAAGTTCTTTAGCTTCTACATTTCCCATACTATTCTTACCCTCCCCCTGTCTATTTTCTACCTACCTTCTATGCTTATTCTCTGTACCTTTTCCCCCTCTCTTCTCCTCCCACTCCCCTGTTGCTAACCCTCCATGTGATCTCCATTTCTGTGGTTCTGTTCCTGTTCTAGTTGTTTGCTTAGTTTGCTTCTGCTTTAGGTGTCATTGTTAATAATTGTGAGTTTGCCATCTTTTTACTGCTCATATTTTTTATCTTCTTCTTAGATATGTCTCTTTAACATTTCATATAGTAAGGGCTTGGTGATGATGAACTTCTTTAACTTGACCTTATCTGGGAAGTGCTTTATCTGCCTTTCCATTCTAAATGAAAGCTTTGCTGGGTAGAGCAATCTTGGATGTAGGTCCTTGTCTTTCATGACTTGGAATACTTCTTTCTAGCCACTTCTTGCCTGTAAGGTCTCTTTTGAGAAATCAGTTGACCGTCTTACGGGAACTCCTTTGCAGGTGACTGTCCCCTTATCTCTTGCTGCTTCTAGGATTCTCTCCTTCATTTTAATCTTGGCTAATGTAATTCTGATGTGCCTTGGTGTGTTCCTCCTTGGGTCCACCTTCTTTTGGACTCTCTGAGCTTCTTGGACTTCCTGGAAGTCTATTTCCTTTGCCAGATTGGGGAAGTTCTCCTTTATTATTTGTTGAAATAAGTTTTCCACTTGTGGCTGTTCCTCTTCTCCTTCTGGTACCCCTATAATTTGGATGTTGGGATGTTTAAAGATATCCTGGAGGTTCCTAAGCCTCTACTCCTTTTTTGAATTCTTGTTTCTTCATTCTTTTCTGTTTGGTTGTTTCTTTCTTCCTTCTGATCCACTCCATTGATTTGAGTCTCAATTTTCTTCCCATCACTATTGGTTCCTCATGCATTTTCCTTCATTTCACTGAGCATAGCCTTCAATTGTTCTTCTAATTTGTGACCAAATTCAACCAGTTCTGTGAGCATCCTGATCACCAGTGCTTTGAACTGTGCATCTGATAGGTTGGCTATCTCTCGGTCACTTAGTTGTATTATTTCTGGAGCTTTGATTTGTTCTTCTGTTTTAGCCATTTTTTTGTCTTGTTGTGCCTGTTATGTAGTGAACGGTGGAGCCTTAGGTGTTCACCAAGGTGGGGCAACCCAGTGGCTGGTTTGTGATGCTATATGTGGGGGCAGGGTCTTAACAGTGGTCCTTACTCTGCTCTCTGTCAGACCTCAGTTTCTTCCACTGCTCCCCCCCAAGCAAACTGGGCCCTCTGGTGCTGGTTCCTGGGTGGGTGGCCTTGTGTATATTCTAGGACCCTGTGGGTCACTCCAATGAACTCTCCTGTGAGCCTGGGAATCTCTCCCCACACATCAACCTTCATAGGTGTCAGTGTTTTGAAGGCTTTATTTCCTGGTGCTGGGACCCTGGGCTGCACAGTCTTTCTCACTCCCCAGTTATCTGCATGCAAATGTGGGACTGCCAGGTCAGCCATCCGCCTTGCACACAGTGCCTTGCTTCACACTCGCCCCCACTTTGTGCTTGGGGTCTTCCAACCACTGCCTGGGTGCCCAGGGTCTGCTCTCCCAGGGTGCCTTGCACTCCCGGTGTCACCACTTCCTGTGCCAAGACCTCTCTCCACTCAGCCACTTGACTCTGCCCTGACTGGATGAATATGTCTGTTTCGGCTCCTTGGCTGTCCGACTTTTATACAGTTCAATTCTCTGTCAGTTCTGGCTGTTATTTTGCTTCTAAATTTTTTTTGTCTTTGTTTTGGTTGTGCGAGGAGGTACAGTGTATCTACCTATGCCTCCATCTTGACCAGAAGTCTCAATGTGGACCTTCTATAGCTGAGGTGAGAAGCGAGTGCGAAGGGCTCTGAGGGCATGCAGGCCAGTCATGGAAGACTTCACAGAGGAGGTAACTATTTGCATCTCAAAGGAGAGGGAGAAAACAGTATTCCACCCAGAGAAAGGCTTGACCAAGGGTATAAAGGGGTCACAAAACCATGGAGCATGAAGAGAGGAGAGAATGGGGCTTGGGGCTTTCTCTTAATCATGAACCAAGTTAGGACAACCTGAGGACATCTGGACTCTGTCTCAGATACTGTCTTGGTTGCAGGGACTGTTTGGGGGCCAGGAAACATTGTCTGTTACAGGTGCAGGCTTGGGATCTAGGCTACCTTTCCCTTGAATTAAATTCCCTAGACCCTTCATTTTCCTTTCTCTCCAGACTCTTTCCTCAGGATTATTTCCTCCATTCTTCTGTCTCCAGATAAATTGCTTCAACCAGGCTTAAACAAAGAGGGTATTTTACTTCAAAATCACCAGAAGAGGAACTTTGTCATGTCTCTGCTCAGGTTTCTGGAGGTCCCACTATTTATTCAACTGCCTAGGAAAGATAAAGGCCATAGGTACAATTTAGTGGGTACATGTAAGGGAATGCACCAGGTATGTCATAAATCTCATCCTATTCAATTTTCACAACACTCTGGGAGGTAAGCATTTGCATCCCTCAGTTTACCCATAAGGGAAATAAGGTAGAGATAAGTGACTTGACCAAGGTCACATGGTTAGGAAGTGGCAAAGGCACTAAACAAACTTGACTGTTTCCTAAATCTGTGCTTTTAAAAGGGAGCTTTGCAGTTCTTAGTCCAGACTTATCATTGTATAGGTGAACAATGGAGGCCAGACAGGAAAGTGATAGGCCCAAGGTCACACTACTCCTCCCCCTGGCAAGATTTTCATCTCTGACTGACCCCAGCAGCTATTCTACTGACTTTGTCCTGCTGCAGGGCCACTGCCTTTTTGCTTCAGTGGACAAGGAGCCAGCTTCTCACCATTCTTTGGATATTTCACTAGGAAGTGTTCAGGCCCCATACCGGAAAGCTGTAAACATAAATTTAATCTCTAAGCCAAGGCTTACAGGCCACCCAAATCTGAAGGCCTTGACTCAGACTCTGGAGGTCATAGGAAGGAGAAATGTGAGTGTGGAGAGTTTGTGGCATGAAGCTACACTAGACAAATGCATAATGATATGAGTAAATTTGAATAATAATGATGAAATGCCTGAATTAATAATGCTGGCTGCTCACCTGACTTGCCACCTCCCTTGGAAATATAAGTGAGCCTATATCTTTGTTTTTTTGGAAGACATGGATGAACTGTCAGGTCAGCAGAGCTGGAGAATTGCTCATAACAGTGTGGGGGAGGAGCCCTGCTTCTAATTCCCTGATCCTCTGCAGACCTAAAGAGCTAGATTTGCACACTTAACCAAAAGAGGACTTCCTTTGTGTATTCAATTATATGCTCTCCACCAACCCAATTTTGGCCCAGTCCCCTCTCCCTTCATCCCTTTATATGCAGCAACCAATAGAGATGTCAAATGTGCAGGGAAATTCAGGGGAAAAAGGTAGTATGGCCCTGGCCCTGAGCAGAGGTTCCATTCTGATGGAACAGATAGGGCAGTCATCCCACCTACCAGATGCCATCCAACCCCATGACAAACAAAAGCATGGGTACAGGCTGTCTGATAGCTTGGGATGGGAAATCCGATGGATAGACTTGTGACAACAGGGCTGAGTGATGGTATAAGCTGTGTTTGCCCAAGGAGCTAAGGGACCAATCTAAGAAGACTTTTTGGATGAGATGAATGTGGACCGAGTTTGGAAAAAAAGGGAGAAATGAAGCTGGAGGAGGAAAAAGAAGGGAGGATGGGACTGGGGTCCTGTCTCTGATAACTTAGAGGGAGGTCTTGGAATGAGGAGGAACAGGTTCCATTTGCTTACTTACACACAGAGTGATGGAGAATCAGAGAGATTTTGGAAAGCTTAGTTTAGAAACAGTTGGATTTGGGATGGTGGTCTCTGCAAAGACTTGTGAACTGGAGAGGAAAAGAAGGGTAAGGAGTCCCCTGAGTTCTAGGGAAATTTGATTTGTTTCCAGTGATATTACAGGTTGGGGACATGGTTTGGATGCCCAGACTTCTCCCTTTTCCTTCCCACAGTTCCTCCATTTCCTATTCTCTTCCCTGCAGCCCTGCACTGGAAACTGAGGCACTGCTCCTGGAGCTTTGCATCTTGCTCAGGCCTTCCCACCACTGGGCTTAGCAGACTGGCTGGAGTGGGTGGGTGGGAGTGTTGGGGAAGAAGAAACTACCACCCAATCCTCTGCTCCATTAGTATCCACAATTAAAGGCAAATAATCTGCAGTGCTCTAATCAAATGTTCTTGGCTGAACTGCCAGCCAGGAAACCATGTATAGCTCCCTACAGTGCAGGAGGCCAAGCATGTGCTGGGTGTCTTTGTGTGTGCACTCATACACCTAGTGCGTGGGAGCCAGGGCTGAACATGTAGAATAGGGCAAGTTGCCATGAAGTAGGATCATAGCCACTTTGTTTTGGATATACAGCCTCTCAGGAAGCTTGTATACATACCTGCCCCATAGAAACTGCCCTTATGCACTCACTGGATTCATTCATAGGGAAATCTACCTGGTATAGTTGCACATGTGGGTTATTTCACACTGGCTCATACAAAACATGTCCAAGTAGAGGCCCAGTGGTATATTAATGTCTCAAGGACTGAGAGGGGTGGCAGCATCCCCGGTAGCATTTTTTATGGACTTCCTGGAAGAGAGGAATGTGCTTTACACTTATTTCTCTAGCCTCTCCTGCTTCTTGCCCAGAAAATGACTTCTCAAAGGCCAAAAACATTTTAATATCAGTTAGAGTATTTTATTGTTTCAACAAGACTTTATTAAGCACCATGGAGCCAGAGCTAAAGTAAACTGACATAGGCGTGAGAGTGAGAGGGCAGTGGTATAGGAAGAGCCCAGGACCTGGAGTACTGAGGTTCAGGTTTGAATCCCCAGCTCTGTTCTTAACTCACTGGGTGTCCTTGGGTAAGTTACTCATCTCCTAGACCTCAGTGTCCTCATTTGTAAAATGAGAGTTCAACTACCTTAATCTATAAGGCCTTTACATTATATTGTACCACTTTCTATAATTGCTGAGCACTTTGGTTCCTGAAACCATTCCCATGGTCCATAGAGGGAGAAAAGAATCAAGGCTGGGCATTGACATCTTGCAAGAAAGGTATTGAGGCAAAAGTGGGGCAGAGACTCAAGTGTCCACCTGCCCAGACTTCATTTCTCTCAAGCTTGATGCAGGATGGTAGCAGGAGCCTGGGAATGGTTGCCTCTTGGGGGAATCCCCTTTCCTCATGCATCTCCTTACCCAGTGCCAGCTTTGGCTTTGCCAGGGACCCAGACTCGCTTCAGCCAGGAGCCAGTTGACCAGACTGTGGTGGCCGGACAGCGGGCCGTGCTTTCCTGCATACTGCTCAACTACTCAGGAATTGTGCAATGGACCAAGGATGGGCTGGCACTGGGCATGGGCCAAGGACTCAAAGGTGAGTGGGACCACCTAGCTATCCCAATATCCAGACTATCCAGTCTTTTGACCTACCACCCCTCCCTTCCCCTAAATAGACTCCTGGACTCAGTATCCCTTCTCTGTGCTCCACCCAGGCTCTTCTGAGTGTGTGGGTCAGGCTCTCTTTCTCTTCTCCAGAGCTCTGTCTCCACTACTTTCCAAACCCTGCAGTTCTGTGTTTCTTCCTGTGGACTGGCTCAAGAAAGACAGTGAGAAGCCTGAGAGATCAAAGGAAACCAAGAGATATTTATGTAAAAAAGTTTCAGACAGACAAACAGACACCGAGAATGCTGCTACAGTCAGAAACGAGTGAAGCAGGAGGTGCTGGGAGAGTTTCCTGCAGAGCAAGAGAGGGACAGGCAACTTTTATATCAGGTTAGCTTTATTCCAACTCCTCTCCTGCCCCCTGCCCAGGCAATGTCTGCTCAGAGACCAAAAAGTCATTTTAATATCAGCCTGAGCACTTATTCATTTATTCAGTGGGCTTTCATTAAGCTCCATGGAACCAGTGCTGAAGCAAATATGAATCAGTAAAAATTAAATAAATAAAGAAAAGGAAATAAACAAAAAAATCTCCTGTATTCCAAAGCAAGCAAAGGTTCTTTTGGAAAGGCTACTTGGCAAAGTAGATGAGGAATCAAGTCACTTGGTGCTAGTCCTGCTCTGCTACTACCAACAGGGTGACCTTAAGAAAGTCACTTCACCTCTCTGGACCTTAGTTTACCACTGCATAAAATAGTATAATAGTCACAGTTCTGCCTGCCTTTTAAGCGCATTTGTAAATTTTGAACCAAATGAGAGAATATATTTTGTGAAAACACATTGTTTACTGTAAAGCAGTATAATGATAAAATTATGGGAGACTATATATTTTTATTCTTATCATTGCCCAAAGGGTTGAGATTATTTGCTGTGGGTGTCATGTATTAATACAGATGGGTGAAAGTTGTATGTTTAGAGCAATCTGTGTAAAGGAAAAAGATAGGTACAGTGGATCTATTGATGATAGACTGGGAGAGAGAGAGGGAAAGAGAAGTCAATATGGAGTGAGAAGAATCAATAGCTTCTGGACAGAGGAAAATAATGGGAAGAAGCTGATGGTGGGGAAGGGGAGGGCAGGAGAATATGAGGGGTTGGGCAGGAGCAAAGGAGACTGAATTGCATAGAGCCATGTTCTCTGAGGACCATCTGCCATAGACACAGCTTCTTCCAGGAATAGGAATTCTGGTTTAGAGGCTCCTTTAAGGAGCTAACAGGACCCTGCCTCATCCATTTTTCCCTTGGCAAGTGAGAGTAAAACCTTGATCTTCCTCGAACTTTCCTCTAGCCCCAGTGAGCTCATGTCTATGCTGCAATGCCCTATATTTCCTAGCACTATGCATCTTCCCATCTCTTCCTCTCCTTTCACTCTGCTGTCATCTTTATATTTTTCTCTTTTCTATTATGAGAATTTCTCTTCAAATTGCATTGCAGATTTCATCTCCTCCTGCTCATACCCTACTTCTACTCTCACTACCCTCACCCAACCTCTCATTACCACCCTGTCCCTTCATTCTCCTGCTTTATGGCTCCTAGTCCCACTGTGGGATTTTGTGACATTACAGTGTCCACATCTGGGACCCCATCCTTATCTATTGGGATGGGGTCCCAGAAGAGGGCAGAGGGTGGAGTGTTGGCCCTGGGATGGGATGTGAACCCTGATGGGGGGGATGAGAAGTGGGCAGAGGATATGCCCAGTCATTCAGGCTGGCTCCCAGGTTGGGATGGGGCTCATGCTGGGCTCCCCCTTTCTGTTCCTGCAGCATGGCCGAGGTACCAGGTCGTGGGCTCTGCAGACACCGGGCAGTACAACCTGGAGATCACTGATGCCGAGCTCTCTGATGATGCTTCTTATGAATGTCAGGCCACCGAGGCTGCTCTGCGCTCCCGGCGGGCGAAACTCACCGTGCTCAGTAATAGCTCCCAACACCCCTCAGTGCCCTCAGCCTACTCTTCCTCTCTCTTTCCCATGACATCCTGGCAGTCTCTCCCCTTTTCTAATTACCTCTTTCATTTTTCACTTCTCCATCTCCGTTCCTGGCCTTATGCTCCTTGTCTCTTCTTAGCTTTCTCTCCTCAACTCTGTCTTGTAACTTCTTCTAAAGCCAGGTTCAGATTGTAGAAAGCAAAATGGGGATGTGGACAGCCACTGGTGAAACATGTTGGGTATGTGAGGTCTGGCATCCTGTGCCAAGGCTGCTCAAGGACTGCTCAAGGACTTGGCTCTGCTCAAGGGCTAGGCTCTGCCTTCTGAATGTAACACTCTCCATGCCAGAGCAGAGGAGTGTTGGGGTGACAAAGACCTAGGCTTCATTCACCCAACCTCTCCTGGCAGACAGGCCTTTGGTGAGGGAGCTTCTCCTATCCTCTCTTCCACTCTACTGCCTCTGAGCTCCAGAAACTGCCTTCTTTGCTCCTTTTTTTCCTGACTCAGCTGCACTCAGCCCTCCCTCCCCTTCTCTTCCTCCTTTCCTCCTTTCCTCCCTCATCACTCACTCCTCCTCCTCAGAATCACTTGGACACTTCCTCTGGAAACAGGGAAGCAGGACTGGAAGAAATGGGCTGAGGGCTAAGGACTGGGGAAGGGGTCCTGTTGGCATCTGGATGGGCTCTGGAGGATGTAATGTCTCTCAGTTGCCACCCCAGAAGCACAGAGCAGATGTTCCTCTGTGATAACACTGGGGGCCATTTTCATAATGACGTGACTCTTTCCTACACACAGTACAAATATGAGGCTAGCTCTGATGTGCTTCCCACCTCAGCCATGCCTCTCTTTCAGGACCTCTGGCTCCATCAGTCTTTCTGTTTCACTCAAGGTCGGGAGCTCTCACTGGGCCTCTGCCTATCTTGTGCTTCTGTCTCTGCTTGACTGTCTGCTGGTGACTCTCTCTTCTTCCTTTGTTATCACTCTGTTCCTTGCTTTTTTTTCTGCCTTTGTTTGATCTATCATGCACCCTCTCTTTTCCTCCCCTAATTAGAATTTGTTGAAGTTGAATGAATGAGGTAATGAGTGAGCTTGAACACAAGGAAGTTTTTTTTTTTTTCTGTGGTGGGCAGTGGGGCATGACAGATACTTCTAGTATGACAGGAGGAGGAGGAGGCTTGGAATAGGAGTCAGGAGACCGGAGCCATTTTTGCATCAATAGTCGGAAGAGGTTGCAATCTCTGGACCTTAATTTTCTTACGGTTACATGGCATAATGAGACTACATTTTTCTTAGCAACCACCATTTTCTTGCTCCCTGTGCAAGAAGTTGTAAACTGAAAGTCTGGGAAATGTGAGGTTTCAAAATAAATGAAAACTGGGGGGACTCCACAACCAATATTGTTGGACATAAAGACCCTGAAGGAGTAGGGCTTAAGGTTGGTGTATGACATGAATTTCCACCCTGGTAAGGACAGAATGGGAAGAATTTGCAAGAAGCAGGATTGAGATGAGGGAGCAAGAGTTAGATGACCACCAGGGTGGGCATGGGAAGAAAAGACATGAGTTCCATCCCTTATTAGACTGTGTGAGCCCCATACTGGACCAGGCATTCCAAGGGAACCAAGAAATTCTTAGGAGACCTTCTCTCTTCTTTTTCTCTCCCCAACTGCCTCTGTTTTGGGTGTTGGAATAAGTGCTCTGGAAAACTCCCATTTTAATGAGAAGGCCCTGATGATTGTTCCTTCCTTTTCCTACTTGAGCACAGGCAGAAATAAAAAGAAATGAAGAAAGGCCAACTAAGCTCCTGAGTATTGCAGGAACAGGGCTTATAATGGTATCCAGTGGCTTGGTTCTTTCAAGGAAGGCTTCCTGGAAGAAGAAACTATAGATGGGAACCCACATAGAGGAGTACCTTGTTAAAAAAGCTTGCAAGTCAGTAAGGGAGAGCCATATGAGTAGGAGAGCTTGTTTGGAGGGCATGGTTTGTGTTGAGGATGAGGACCTTTGTAGCCTATCTGGGTGATTTGTACAGATGAGAGCAGCAAGAAAAGGCTCCAAGAATAGAAGAGATGAAAAGTTAGTCTGGCTGCTTTTCCCCCCTCCTTGTCTCTCTTGAATTTTCAAACTGTCTATCACCTACGGCCTCAAGCAGGCAATAAAAAGGCAGTACCTTTCTTGCATCCCTCCTTGCTTACCTGCACACACAGTTTTTTTTTTTCATGGCAGCCTTGGGGTGCAGACACTGTACAGGGCAGCCTTGGGGCACAGACACTGTACAGGGCACTGTAACTGGTGTCAGCCTCCCTGTACATAGCCAGCCTCATCAACTCCCCCCATCGGCAGCCAGACCCTCAGTATTCTCTCCTCCAAACCCCACCCCAGGTTAGCCTTCTTTACAGAATGGCCTTTCATTCTTCTTGCAGCAAGCTTAGAGATGTGGACTCTCAGCCCCCTCAGACACAGACACAGATATAATATAGATCTACAGATCTAGAGCTTCTTCATTATTCACAGTGAAAACAACTCAAGTGCAGCAGTGATGAGTATGTCTCCATGGTTTGTGGTCATGGTCCACCTCCTAGTTTTGCCATTTAACTCATTCTCCTGTCTCTGACCATATTTGCTTAACCTCCCTGAGCCTCAGTGCCTTATCTGTAAACTTGGATTCATGGTATTTACCATGAAAAGATTAATGAAATATACTTGGTGGTGAGGATTAAGTGAGATCATATATACAAGACACTTTGACACCTGGTGAGCATTCAATGTATGGTAGAAATATTGTCCATCACATTACAGTTTATAGGTACCTTCTCATTCTTGATCTCATTTCCCCATTCACAATAACAACCATAGGGAATAGGTATCAATGCCCATTTTCAAATTTTACAAAGAAGGAAATAGAGGCCAATGTCATATACATATTAATATGAAAATTTGTCACAAAGATAAAAATTTGTTCATAAAAAATATGTGTGAGCACATGCTATATAACTTATGGCTGGGCAGATACATCAACAATCTATTTTACTTTGCCCCAGATATGAGGGAAAAGGTGGGCTAGTGACAGAGGTGACAAATAGTCAATCTGAAAGGTTCAAGGAGAGGATCCCGAGTGGCAGCTCTTTATCCATGTCCTCCTACTTTTCTCTCTTTCCCACTCCATTTCCAAATCTGCGCCAATCTGGCACTGAAACTAGGTACACCGGTGACAAAGGGGAGTAGCTAGGCATTCAGGATAATTTGCTAGCCAGGAGTTGGAAGCACTGCTGACTTTTGTCTGAGCAGTAAAAACAAACACATTTCACATATTACCTGCGCTGTGCACATTACCATCTATATTCAGTGCCTTACCTGACTTTCATGACAGTTGCATAGGCAGACACTGTTGAAGAAATTAAGACTCAGTGACGTGAGGGACTCACTGAAGATCACAAGACAGGAAAACAAAAGTGCCAAGATTTAACACCAAGGTAGCCTGATTCTTTCCCCCTCCTACCACTCTGCATGCATGAGTTGAGCATAACAGTAGGAAACTTGTAGTCTGGTTCACCAGAGCATTTAGAAGACTATGGGGGTATTGACCATCTGCATTTCAACTTCTTAAGCACTTAGCAAGAGCCTACCTCAGACATATTCTGGGCACTGGAGAATATAAATATAGATGAAGCAAGGTCCCTGCTTTTCCAGGAATAATGGCTTTGGTTGGGGAAGTGGTGTGGGTAATTATCATAAGTAACCCAAACACAAAGTAGATAGTGAAAGGAGATTGGAGTTCCTGGCCAGGACTATTGAGGTGGTAGTTGTGGGGTGAGGAGGTATGGTATAGAAGGCCTTGTGCAGCAACAAAGATGCAAACAGAATGGATAGCACTTCAACAGAAGCCATGAAGGAAAGAAGAGCAAAAGCAAAGATGAGGTATGAAAGTGCAAGAACTTAGCCTAAGGATCCCCTAACAGTAGGCTGAGGTACTTGGAACTTCTACCCATAGCAATCGGTAGCCAGTGAAGGTGTTTGAGCAAAGAAGTAGCACAGATTTAGTGCTACTAAGCCTGAGAAAATAACCTGCTAGCAGTGATGGATGGGTTGGGTCTAGCAGGGAATGGAGTCAAAGAGTCCATTGGGAAGACTGCTATAATAGACTTGCTCATCTGGCTGCTTCAGGAAAGAGGAGCAGACAAGAGAAAATGGAAGAAACTCTGTGGAGGTAGCCACCTTTCTGTGCCAGGCCCCCCCAAGGTATGAGCTATACTCAAACCCTGATATAGACCAGTCCTTTCCTTATTTAAGGGCACTTCCTCATCTGTATGTATCCTTGAGCAATGGCAAGGGGTATAGTACTGGAATAAGGTAAAGGCTGTGGAAGAATAACTGATAAAGGGCATGAAAAGCTATATAAGTTGAGGGCCTTGCTTCACCCTGGAGTGGGTATGCCGAGGGAGGGATGACTTCAGGGACAGAGGTTTTGGTCATCAGGGCAGTAATGTCTGCACTGCACCCTGGACTGACTTTGTTCTCTCCCCCACAGTCCCTCCAGAGGATACTAGGATTGATGGAGGTCCTGTACTTCTGCTGCAAGCAGGCACCCCCTACAACCTCACATGCCGAGCCTTTAATGCTAAGCCTGCTGCTACCATCATCTGGTTCCGGGATGGGACTCAGCAGGAGGGTGCTGTGGCCAGCACGGTGAGACCCTGCATGTTCCCCCAGCTCCTCTTGGGCTTTGTCCCAGGTCACCTTTCCTTTCCCTGCTGAGTCTGACTTGGGAATGCAGATGAAAGAGGACTTAACGGTTACCTGAACCGACCCTCTTTTTATACAGTTGGAAAAATATAGGCCCAGAAAAGAGAAGTGGATTTTCAGGCTCATTATGCCATTCTATAGCTGAGCAGAGACTAAGAATAATTGTAATAATAGCTACATTGATGAGCTACTGTGTGCCAGGCATTGTGTATACTAAGCTTTGTGGATAGTACCTCTTAATCCTCACAGGAGTTTTCTAAGTTAGATGTTATTACCCCAGGTCATACAACCGGCATGAAGCAGAGCTGGGTTTTGTATGTAAGTCAGACTGTGCTCTGCCTACCGAGCACCTCAAACTTATTGTCTAGTTGGAAAATTTTCCCACTTGGGACAACTAAGAGGCTAAGGAGGCAGAGATCATCATGTACACTTTATAGATAAGCCTGTGGTAGAAAAAGACATCAGGTGACTTGCCCAGGATCACCTGGTAGAGTTAATAGTGATCTGCTGTTTAGAGTTTCTTCTGCCATCTGTGGACAAACATATGTTTACCCAGCCCTTTGCTAGGTGCTGCAAGAAACATTCCCCTTGTGGGGAGAGAGAGCTCACCTGTGTACCTTGGAGGGTGGCCCTGGAGAAAACTTGGAGCTCTGCCTTTGCCATATTGTACAATTCATTTCTCTTTGGCCTTAGTTTCACCATATGACAAATGAAAATTTGGCCTCAGTAGTGTTTAACTTTTTCACCACCGAGAGCTCTTGTTATTTTTCTCCTTGAGGGCTGTATGCTTTGAAATATTTTGTCAACCTAACAGGCTGATTTGTTAATAACCATTTGTCATCCCTCCCTTTTTTATATTAATTAAAGACAATGGCTCTGCCAAGCAGCACAAGGAAGCCACTGTTATTACACTGGACTGGTATTGTTCAGGCCCAGGAGAGATGTGTGTATTGTTGTCAAAGGGCACACCTTACTTTTGGCTAATAGTATGGTGTACCTTAGGCATTTTGCAGCCCCAGGGTTCCTTTGATCATATTTGGGGATCTCAGGTCAGGTACCATTGACCCCATATGACACTTTGAGCCTGTGAGTCCATTCTCTGCCCTCTAGGGGTTTATGGTCTAGTAGGAGAAAACCAACTCAGAAATGCTCAGGCACAGTATCTTAAGAGGAAAGGCAGAGTGTGCCTAAAGCCATGCATGGAATAGATTGCTTATAAAAGACACAAGTTCAGGTTGGGGGAGAGTCCTAAAGGCTGAGATGGCCAAGGAAGACTTTGTAGAAGAGGAGGAACTTAAGCTGGACTAAAAGAATTCCAGGAATCAAGCTCAAAACCATGCAGAAAACTAGCACACAGAGTGAACTCTAATATAAACTATGGACATTAGTAATAATATGTTAATATTGGTTGTAAAACACACTTCCACCAAGATGGAGGCATAGGTGGAAACACTTTGCCTTCTCACACAACCAAATCTAAAAACAATAAAGTTTTAGCAACAATAAATGCAGCCAAACCACAGAAAGTTGAACAATACGGGGTCTGACACCAAAGAACCCCTCTGCTAGACCGGTAAGAGGGGCAGAGCCAGCAGCAGAGCTGGTCCGGCAAAAAAGATCCCCTAACCCAGGCAGCCAAGGTTGAATCCCAGGTGTGGGGTAGCAACAGGTGGACCCAGTGAAGGTGCAAGGCGGCTGGGTGACCTCGGTCACACATTTGCGCACAGATAAACCAGCAAAGGAGCGAGAAGTAAGACAGTCCAGTCAGGACCCAGCAGCAGGAAGGAGCTAAGGCCACTGCTATTGCTCCCTTTCTGACCCCGCCCCCACATACAGCGTCACAAACCAGCTACCTGGTTGGCCCTGCCCTGGTAAACAAGTAAGGCTCTGCCCCTCATACGTAACAGGTGTGAACCGATTAAAACACGGCTTAAGAACAACTCAGAGCCCCAGAGCCAATAAATCTAAGCAAAAAAGAAATTGCCAACCTATCAGAGGCATAGTTCAAAACACTGGTGATCAGGATGCTCACAGAACTGGTTGATTTTAGCCACAAATGAGGAACATATAGAAGCTAAATTAAGTAAAATGAAGGGAAATGCACAGGAGAGCAATAGTGATGGAAAGGAAACTGGGACTCAAATCAAGGGAGCGGACCAGAAGGAAGAAAAAAATGACCAAATAGAAAAATAAGAAGAAACAAGAATTCAAAAAAATGAGGAGAGTCTTAGGAACCTCCAGGACATCTTTAAACGCTCCAACATTCTAATTATAGGGTTACCAGAAGGGGAAGAGGAACACCCATGAGTGGAAACCTTATTTGAACAAATAATAAAGGAGAACTTCCCCAATCTGGCAAAGGAAATAGACTTCCAGGAAGTCCAGGAAGCTCAGAGAGTCCCAAAGAAGTTGGACCCAAGAAGGAACACACCAAGGCACATCAGAATTACATTAGCCAAGATTAAAAATGAGAATCCTAGAAGCAGCATGAGATAAAGGGACAGTCACCTACCTACAAAGGAGTTCCCATCAGACTGTCAGCTGATTTTTCAAAAGAGAACTTACAGGCAAGAAGGGGCTGGAAAGAAGTATTCCGGGACTTCAGCCAAGATAGAGGTGTAGGTGGGAACACTTTTTGTCCTCGTACAACCAAATCTAAAAATAATGAAATTTTAACAACAATAAACATAACCAAACCACACAGAAAATCGAATACGGAGTCTGGAAATAATGGACCACTCAGCTAAACCGGTGAGAGGGGCAAAACCAGCAGCGGAGTCAGTCGGGCAAAAAAGATCTGGGTGGTGCACAGGCAGCCAGGGGCGCGGATCCCAGGTGTGGGCTAGCTATGGGTGGAACCCAGGGAAGAGGTGCTGCTGGCTGTCTGCAGTCCTCGCGCATTTGCACGCAGATAAACCAGTGAACAGGCGAGCCTTGAGACAGATCTCGCAGGCCCCAGCAACTGGCACAGGGCGGCAGACTCGCACATTTGCGCTTGGATAAGCAGGCGGGGGTGAGCGGTGAGGAGGAGTGGGCGAGCAGAGAAGACCTCCATTGCTCCCTCTCTGACCCTGCCCCCACATACAGAGTCACAAACCTGTGACCTGGGTGGCCTCGCCCTGGTAAACACCAAGGCTTCTCTCCTCATAAGTAACAGGCAGGAACAGATCAAAACATGGCTCAAGAACAACTCAGAGCCCCAGAGCCAATAAATCTAAGTGATGAAGAAATAGCCAAACTTTCAGATGCACAGTTCAAAACACTGGTGATCAGGATGCTCACAGAACTGGTTGATTATAGTCACAAATTAGAGGAACACATGAAGGCTAAACTAATTAAAATGAATGGAAATGCACAGGAAACCAATAGTAATGGAAAGGAAACTGGGACTCAAATCAAAGGAGTGGACCAGAAAGAGGAAAAAAAATGACCAAACAGAAAAATAAGAAGAAACAAGAATTCAAAAAAAATGAGGAGAGGCTTAGGAACCTCCAGGACATCTTTAAACGTTCCAACATCTGAATTATAGGGGTACCAGAAGGGGAAGAGGAACACCCATGAGTGGAACACTTATTTGAACAAATAATAAAGGAGAACTTCTCCAATCTGGCAAAGGAAATAAACTTCCAGGAAATCCAGGAAGCTCAGAGAGTCCCAAAGAAGTTGGACCAAAGGAGGAACACACCAAGGCACATCAGAATTACATTAGCCAAGATTAAAATGAAGGAGAGAATCCTAGAAGCAGCAAAAGATAAGGGGACAGTCACCTACAAAGGAGTGCCCATCAGACTGTCAGCTGATTTCTCAAAAGAGACCTTACAGGCAAGAAGGGGCTGGAAAGAAGTATTCCAAGTCATGAAAACCAAAGACCTAAAACCAAGATTGCTCTATCCAGCAGTTTTCATTTAGAATAGAAGGACAGATAAAGTGCTTCTCAGATAAGATCAAATTCAAGGAGTTCATCATCACCAAGCCCTTACTATATGAAATGTTAAAGGGACTTACCTAAGAAAAAGAAGATAAAAAAGATGAACAGTGAAAGGACAGCAAACTCACAGTTATTATCAACCACACCTAAAACAAAAGCAAATTAAGAGGACAGCTAGATCAGGAGGAACCATAGAAATGAAGATCACATGGAGGGTTAGCAACAGGGGAGTGGGAGAAGGAAAAGGGGGGAGAAGGTACAAAAAATAAGTAGCATAGACAGTAGATAGAAAATAGATAGGGGGAAGGTAAGAATAGTAGGGGAAATTTAGAACCTAAAGAACTTGAGACATGTGGTCATAAACTAAAGGGGGGAATGGAGGGAAGGGTGTGCAGGGTGGAGGGGAATGAAGGGGGCAATAGAACAACTGTAATGGCATAATGAATAAAATATATTTTTAAAAAGATGCTACAATAAGAAATGTACAAAATAACAAAATATTGGTTGTAAAACATATCACACTAATATAGTCTGTTAGTGACAGCAAAACTGTGGAGAGGAGGAGGAGGGCATATGGGCATTCTCTGAATTTTCTTTCAACTTTTATGTAAACTTAAATATTTTTTAAAAAATAAAGTCTACTAAAGAAAAAAAAACTTGGAGGAGGTTGGGTCTGTGGGCAGTGCTGAGCTTCAGGTTAAAGTGCCCCTCCAGTGCAAGTCAAGATCTGAGTTCGGTCATTTGGAGAGCAGAGGATAGGCTTTTAGCCTGACCATGTCTTCCACCCTTATCTCACCCCAGGAACTGCTGAAGGATGGGAAGAGGGAGACCACTATTAGCCAGCTGCTCATTAACCCCACAGACCTGGACATTGGGCGAGTCTTTACCTGCCGCAGCGTGAACGAGGCCATCCCGAGTGGCAAGGAGACTTCCATTGAGCTTGATGTGCACCGTGAGCAGGGTCCCAGGGGAGAGTAGGCTGGAGGAGTTGGGTGGGGAAGGGAATGTGGGCATCATGGAGAAGTACTGAAGAATCCTTTATGGGCCCCAGAAAATAGGCTCATTTTCTTCATTTTGTGAAGTTTCTCTGATTTTACCCATGGGCACTGAAGACTGGTAAAGAGTCATTGGCTATAAGTTGAGCAGTTCCTGGGTCTAAACCAGCATGCGGTTCCAGGCAATTATTTAATATCTCTGAGCCTCAGTTTCTAATTCTGTATATCTGCAGAAAATAAAACAAATAATACAATTCCTTATCCAAAATTAAGAAGTAAAAGTGATTTAGTAGCAAAACCTGAACCATGGCTCTTTATAGTCTTTTATTTAAGCCACTTAATCTGAATAGTCACCCGTTTCACTGCAGAGGTATTAATGTATGTCACTATGGGGTGTTGCACAGACCCTGCTGGAGGTCTTGCATGGTAAACAGTTCATACACACTATTACCCTTCTAAAATTTGATAAATTCCAAATTCTGAAATATAGAGTTTCAAGGGTTTCAGGTAAAGAATTTTGGACCCATACCTGCTTCTCAGAGTTGTGAATATTAAATGAGGTATAGTGTAAGGGCATCTGGCCTGGAGTATACTACCTAGTATGTGCTCAATAAATTACCTCCACCCAGTCATGATAAGCAATTGGAGAAATGCCCCACCCCTCCCATTTTAATAAGCCAGAGGAGCCTGCACTGGTGCCTAGTGGCCACTATTGGCCTTTATACTGATTAACTAATTTGTTCCTTTGGTGTCATCCTTGATCATCATCACCATAAATGACCCCCTAGATTCCATGGAGTAAAAATGAGAAAGACAGGTATATTTATTGTAGGTGGTCCACTGCAAAATCAAATTCCCAGACCACAGCACAGTGGTAGTGTCCAAGAGTATATGCTAAGGAGAGAAAAAACCTGAGGTACAGAAGACCCTGACTTCCTGTCCCCTGCTTTGCAGACCCTCCTACGGTGACCCTGTCCATCGAGCCACAGACAGTGCAAGAAGGCGAGCATGTTGTCTTTACATGCCAGGCCACAGCCAATCCTGAGATCCTGGGCTACAGGTGTGAGAAGCAGGGTCTGGGAGCATTCTGAGAAGAGTACTAAGAAGGGCAATGCCCCTGGATGTGTGTGAGAGGACTCCAAGCCCTAACTCCTATATCATCTTCTCCCTCAGATGGGCCAAGGGGGGCTTTTTGATTGAAGATGCTCATGAGAGTCGCTATGAGACAAACGTTGATTATTCCTTCTTCACGGAACCTGTGACCTGTGAGGTTTACAACAAAGTGGGCAGCACCAATGTCAGCACCTTAGTAAATGTCCACTGTGAGTAGCTGCAAGTAGAGGGGCAGAGACTGAGAGCAGGAGTGTAACATGGGAGCAGAAGGGCCTGGGGTGGAGTTGGGTAGGCTCCATGATGCTGAGGAGATGGGGAATAGACACAGGAAGGACTGGAAAGAAAAGACAATGTTAGTTGGAGCTGACCCCAATAACACTGAGACCCTAACAAGATGCTCCCTTCTACCTCAGTTGCCCCTCGGATTGTAGTTGACCCTAAACCTACGACTACAGACATTGGCTCTGATGTGACTCTCACATGTGTCTGGGTTGGGAATCCCCCCCTCACCCTCACCTGGACCAAAAAGGACTCAAACATGGTAAGACATGTGCTGCCTCTCTGAGGTGCTGGGAGGAAAGAGCTTAGACACCAGTGAGGGGGAGGAGTCTAGGGAGGTGCAGCATTAGTTTTCAGGTTGAACCTTGGATATTTCTAGTCTTGGGATTTGGAAGAGAAGGACAATGCTTGTGATTAACCCCCACTCTCCTTGAAGGATAGCTGGCTGGTTTAGTGGCAGTGGGGAGGATTTGCTGACCTGTGTGTGGAAGGAGGGAAGAGAGCCTGGGTGGAGGTGCTGGGGTAGCAAGAGATGTGGTGAATGAATGATATGTAGGAAGGTAGAGGAGTTAGAATGGGTCACTAAAGAGGAAAAGGTGGAATTCTACAGCATTACAGAGACCTACATTAAACATTTTTGGCAGGAAGAGGGATTTCAGGGTGAAATTTTCACTAGAACAGTTCATCCAAAGAGACTGCATCCTCTGTGATCTCACCTGCCTTCTGGCCCTCCTGTCTCATGCAGAGTTGGTATGTTTAAATGCCAACCCGTTTAGAGTCAAGGGAGGGACCAGAGAGACTCAGGACCCCATTTCCCTTCTGGGAATTCACTTGTGGCCCTTCCTGCTTTATTTCCAATACATCCATTACGGGGCCCACACAGACCTAGGGGCCCAGACCTCCTAGCTCTCCACCTGAGGCTGCTCTCTCTACCAAGGTACTGAGTAACAGCAACCAGCTGCTGTTGAAGTCCGTGACCCAGGCAGATGCTGGCACCTACACCTGCCGGGCCATTGTACCTCGCATAGGAGTGGCTGAGAGGGAGGTGCCACTTTATGTGAATGGTAAGTGACCTAAGAGGGGCTGGGCCTGGGTGGGCAGGCACTGTAGATTCCACCTGACCCTGACTGAATCTTCTGCTTGCAGGTCCCCCCATTATCTCCAGTGAGGCAGTACAGTATGCTGTTAGGGGTGATGGTGGCAAGGTGGAATGTTTCATCGGGAGCACACCACCCCCAGACCGCATTGTGAGTGCTAGGACTGGCATAGGGTGTGAGGAGAACTAGTCTCATACTTTTCTACTCCAGCTCAGTCTCCTCCCATTTTCTCTGTCTATGCTCCTACTTATCTCTACTTCTAATCCTCCAACTTTTTGTCCCTCTGTCCCTTTCCTTGCTCAAATGCCACCATTTCTCTTAATTGTGTGACCCAGAGAAAATTGTGTAGTGTTTTGAACCTCGGTATCTTCATCCACAAAATGAGGGCAGTGATCCTGCCTTAACAGGGTTGCCGTAACAAGTAATAGTAACAGCAGGTGAGGATGGCCCAAGGGAGCCCCTTACTGGATTCATTGTTAGTCCCCTAGGCTAACACTCTTGCTCTCTCTTCTCCATCATATCTTTCTCTTTCCTCCTGATCTTTTTCTTGCTCCCTTCTTTTCCCTCTTCCTCCCAGCTCTACTCCATCAGCTTTCCTTCCCACCCTGCCCCATGTCCCTCTAACCTCTCTTCTGTCTTCCTCTTTACCAGCTCCCTCACTGCTCCCCTCCCTGCTCTCCCCTCTTCCCTACACTATGGACCATTACTTCCTTTTATGACCATTAACCATCAAACTCCTTATCACATTTAATAACCATTTGGATGATTCCAGGGCTGCTCAGGGACACTTTATTACCACAGCTTCCCAGACAGAGAGTAACTCGGCTCCCAGGGGCTTTGATTGCAGAGCAAGGATAACTAATCCAGGAAAAAAAGTCAGTGCTCAGTCATTACTCACTCCTTAGGCTCTACTTAGAGGGAGGGGTCACAAATGGGGACTGCCTTCCTGGAGGTTAGGGGTGAAAGAGCCTGGGATACCCCTCTGCAGTGATAACTCTTCATCACTATGAGAGCCAGCCAGGCCACTGGGTTAGCTAAAGCTAAGATTTAGGATTGACTTATGTGAAAGAAATGTTGATCATTAGCCAGTCTGGTCCTCTCACTTTACAGGTGATGAAACAGACACCCAAACAGGGAAATGGAAGCCACACAAGGACTCGAGGGGAGCACCACGCATAACACCCAGTGTTCTTGACTACCCCATCCAGGAATTTCTCTACAACATCAGGGGTTCCTAAATGTTGGTTCATTGGACAAGCTATACCTACATTGTGTGAGATTATTATAAAAATAGAGATTTTAAAAATAATTGAGCCTCTTCCTGGGAGATTCCTATTTAGGTGTTAAGTCCCAAGAATTGGCATTTTAAAGAATGTCCCTGGATATATCTGAACGTTTCTGGCATATATCTCAGTCACGTTTGGGAGCCACTGCTTCTTCTAGATCAAAGGTTCAATGCCAAGGTTTGAGGAAGTAGCTATGGCTTAGATTTGTTGCAGGGGGTGTTGTATTGGGCTTAAGGATACACAGGCACATGGGATAAAACTGTGTTGAGGATGGATCAGGTGTTCCTGCCACCTGACCATTTCTTACCACCCCCTGCCCTTCCCACTGCAGGCATGGGCATGGAAGGAGAACTTTCTGGAGGTGGGGACTCTGGAACGCTATACGGTGGAGAGGACCAACTCAGGCAGCGGGGTGCTGTCCACACTAACCATCAACAACGTCATGGAGGCTGACTTTCAGACCCACTATAACTGCACTGCCTGGAACAGCTTTGGGCCAGGCACGGCCATCATTCAGCTGGAAGAGAGAGGTGACAGAAGTTCTGGCTTGTAGCCAGGGAGCAGGGTGGCCTAGGGATTCTCCCTCTTATCTCCTGGGACCAGGCTCAGAGTGAGACAGGCTCTGTCTTGGGCCTCCCCACTAAAACCTGGCCTTGTTGCTCAGATTGGGAAATCTGCTTGCTTTTTAAAATATTTATTGTGCATCTGTTATATGCTAGGCCCTACCCTAGGGGATGCAGGGACCAATGTGAACATAGCCCTATGGGAACCTCAGTTTAATGGAGGAACTTACACAGTGGCAGCAAATGACTTCAGTTGAAGAAATGTCAAGTGATCTGTGAAAGGGAATAACACTGCCTACCTCATTGGATTCATGCAAGGATTATACAAGAGAATATTTATAAAATACCTGGCATATAACAGATGCCCAGTAAGTTTTGATTCCCCACCTCTTCAAGAATTCCTTGTCTGATAGGAGATGCATGTTCCCTTCCCTAAGACACTTCTAATATGACAAAGTAACGTTATGTTTGACTTTTTTTTGAATTAGCCATTTGACATGGGAGATGAAGGAAAATAACTGAGGATACATCAATTCTGTCTTAGCTGAGGGTGCCAGCCAGGGGTTGATGTGGAAGAAGAGAGTAGATAGAGTAAGACAGATCTCAGCAGGCAAGGCTTTTTACAAGGGAAGGCCCTTTACACAGATCTGATCAATCCAGACTTCCAGGAAGGAGTGGAAACTGGAGGCAAGAGTCTCAGGTTCTTGCCAGCTTTGGGGAGCAGGGAGAGCCAAGGTGGACGGTTGGAGTTCTGGGTGGGTAGGTGTAGATGAAGCTTTCATAATGGTGTGGCTGGAGCAGGTGATAAAAGAGTTCAGAAAACATAGGCAGATCAGAGAGTTTGAAGACAGCTGACCTCAAATGAGCCCATCCCAGGAAAGAGAGACCAAACCTCATAGGAAGGTGGACTACAGGAGAGGGACAGATGGATCACCAAGGCCAAAGTCAAGTTGGTGCTCCAATGGCTAGGATGATGCATCACCATGACCTCCACTCTAATCAAGCTTAAGCTCAGGCCCAAACCCAAATGCAATGCAAACCCTCTCAAACCCCACTTTGACTTAAACCAACCCTGGAAACAATCCATGGATGCCATTGAAGCTTGTGGCCTTTGGCAAGATTGTTCTTCAGCCCACACTGAGCTCAGACTCCCAGGGTGTCTCCCTCCTTACCACCTTCTTTCTTTCCTCATCTGAAGAGGTGTTACCCGTGGGCATCATCGCTGGGGCCACCATCGGTTCAGGCATCCTGCTTACCACCTTCTTTATTACCTTGGTGTTCTTCCTCTACCGGCGCCGCAAAGGCAGTGAGTATGGACTCCATGGGCCACAGCCCTCCCTCACTGTTTCCAGGGCCTCCAGCAGGCAGGGTCTGAGGGGTCAGGGGGTGGCAGTTGCACATCCCAGCCAAGGTAGGTCAAGAAACAGCCCACTGCAAAGGCTGGCAGAAAGCATCCAGACTTCCTTCCCCTGTCTCAGGTCGCAAGGATGTGACCCTAAGGAAACTGGACATCAAGGTGGAAACAGTGAACCGTGAGCCACTCACAATGCATTCTGACCGAGAGGATGATACTGCCAGCATCTCCACAGCGACTCGAGTCATGAAAGCCATCTACTCAGTAAGGGTCCTGCTCTTCCCTGGCCCATTCCTGTCTTCACATTCTTGGGACTGGCCCTATCTCAGTTCTCTAATAACCGCTGTCACCCTCTCCTCCATGAGTCAGCTTATAATTTGGTCCTGCCACACACCCACATGCTCACACACGTCCCTACATGCTTACATACATGCACATACACTGACACACATGTGCATGTGTACACACACATGCATACTCCCAGTCTTGTTTTCCTCCAGCAGAGGATAGACAGGCGGGGTCTCCATGGGCTTTCTTTGTCCTATCCTTTTCCTATATAATTGGGACCCCCTAGAATTTTTCACATCCAACTGCCTCATTGCTGGATCCCGGGGGGAGGGGGGCGACGACATACCCAAGGTCATGATCTGTTAGTTACAAAATGGGTGCTAGAATCCAGGTCTCTGGCTTCTTCCCACTACATTCCAGAGTCTTTACTGGGAGAGAATACAGAACTCAAGCCTGCCCATGATCCCAGACCCTTTCCATTTGATGTTCTCTGGGGGTGGGGGTGGGGTTTGTGGGGTATAAGAGCAGGACTTCAGCCTCCTAATGCCCCACACCTGCTGCTCTGCAGTCCTTCAAGGATGATGTGGACCTGAAGCAGGACCTGCGCTGTGATACCATTGACACTCGGGAGGAGTATGAGATGAAGGTGTGAAAGGGGGATGGGGCAGGGGCACCAGGGCTGGGCTGGAGCTTAGGGTTCTGAGGGCTTGATTGTGCACTGGAGGGCAGGTTACAGAGAGAAGGTCAGGTGGTTTCCTGAAGGAGCAAAGGAGGTGGAAAGGTTGGCTGGGAACCAAAGGCAGAGCCCTGAGGGCCTTGTGAGGTTTGATCCCCTTCCCGACTCCCACTAGCGGGTGTTCCCTCCTCCATCATCTTCTCTCCTTGACCCAGGACCCCACCAATGGCTACTACAACGTGCGTGCCCATGAAGACCGACCCTCTTCCAGGGCAGTACTCTATGCTGACTACCGTGCCCCCGGCCCTGCCCGCTTCGAAGGCCGCCCCTCTTCCCGTCTCTCTCACTCCAGCGGCTATGCCCAGCTCAACACCTACAGCCGGGCCCCAGCTTCTGATTATGGCCCAGAGCCCACAGCCCCTGGCCCAGCTACCCCAGCTGGCACCGACACAACCAGCCAGCTGTCCTACGAGAACTATGAGAAGTTCAGCTCCCATCCCTTCCCTGGGGCAGCAGGGTATCCCACCTATCGATTGGGCTACCCCCAAGTCCCACCCTCTGCCCTGGAGCGAGCCCCATTCGAGGCATATGACCCTATTGGCAAGTACACCACAGCCACTCGATTCTCGTACACATCCCAGCACTCGGACTATGGCCAGCGCTTCCAGCAGCGCATGCAGACTCATGTGTAGGGGCCAGAGCCTAGCTGGGGCATCTCTGCGGGGCAGAGGAGAAGCTGTTCCCTGATATTCAGGGGCGTGCGTTGCTCATTGCTCCTGTCCCCAACCAACCTTCCTCCTCCTGCCATGGAAGGTGGGAAATAGATCTCCCAGAAACACCCCATCCAAGGATGGTGCTGTATGTATGCCTCAGCCTCCTGGGCCTGCCCTTCCTTCTTCTTCAAGAGGATGTGCATGTTCTGACCTGCACTTGCATCTGGGGATGGGGAAAGTGAAGGTTATGGGCAGCAGAGAGGGGACTTTTAGCATTCCCTTTCTATGCTAACCCTGTGGTCTCCAATAAGTGAATCGGGGATTCATGTAAGAATAGATAGGCTTTGGCCTGGGGGACAGGAAGTGTAGGGCTGAATGGCTATGGTACATATAGATGGAAACAGATGGCCTGGCCAGTCGGTCTGTTATCTGCACTTACAGCCTGGTGCATCTCTCCTTCCTCAGGACTGCAGAAGGGACTTTATTCTATCCTTGTCTATGGAACAGCCTGTCACTGAGTTCAAATTCAGCCCTCATTCACCTGAGATTAAATTGCCAATCATCCTGGCTGCCCATTATGGACACCTATCTGTCAATCTGCAGAGGGATCCAGATGTCTCCATTATCACTACCCCCTTTCCTTCTCCTTTATGCTGGGCTAGCCAGATAAGTCAGAAGGTCATGGTGGAAGACGGAAAGGCTAGGACTCATGTCCCATTTTACCAGCAAGACAACTGTGTGTTACCTACCACTTTTCAGAACCCACACTAGGGGAGCCTACCCAAACCCCATTCTCTCCCTAGTCTGCCTCACTTAACTTATTTGAACTCTGGAGCTTGCCTGAGGAGTTGCAGATGAAAGGATAGGAGTACTATAGAATATTTATCAAAGAATAAAATGAAAACCTCATTTGTAAAAAAAAAATAATAATAAATAAAGCAGTAGGAGTTCCCCCACCCAAATATAATTTCCAGTGGAAAGGAAAGGAGGCACACATGTTCTTCACCAGATTCCTAACACTTTCCATTACTTTTTCAATTGTCAAGCACTTTGAATCCATTTTTAAACATTCAGGTGGTGAGACCTTTCAGTTGGGCTCTGACAGGCTTAGGGTGGGGACCTGGCTCTCAGACACCCTGTACTACCCCTACAGGGCATGGGAGAGGTGCTCTTTACATGGATTTTACTTAAGTCTTTTTCTCCTCTTCTGTCAATCATATTTCCCCTTTTTGCAGTGCCTTGAGCCTTGTTGACAAGCCCTATGTGGAAGACTTTGCAGGGAGTGGATATTGTGAGCCTCAGACACTCTGATAAGAGTTGCAGAGTTTAGGGAACAGACTGATGAGAGGGCCTGGTAAGAGGAAGAGCAGACTGACTGGGTAAGGTGGTACAGAGGGCACTGCAGGCAGCCATGGCCCATGCTGACACCATCCACACATGTAGGCACACATGCACACACACACATTCCCATGGCCTTTCTCAGCCACCACCTGCTAACCAAAGAGAACCAGTGCTACAAAGAGAATCCATGCCTGGCCTCCCCTTCCCAAGAAGCAGGGTTTAGAGTGCACTCCTGATTCACTCAGTCCTGACAACGTCGGTGAGGCCTTCCATGTCATGCCCAGAATATGCATAGCCCTTTCTCATGGTCACCTTTCATTAGTCATATTCACTTTAATGAGTTAAACAGTCATCAGCCAAGGGTCATCACCATCTTTTCAAATGGGTCTGTGGGGGTGACATTCTTTGTCACTCCCCAGCTGGTAAGAATCAGCTAATGCCCAGGAATAAAGTAGCTCCATCTCTGGCCCCACAGCTGCTTCAAGGGGCTAGAGCACCATGGACCTACCCTTTCTGAAACATGATCCAGGCTCCTACCCATATCCACCTCTAGAAGTTGACACCTCCCTGTGCAATCCTTTTATGTAAGCTCAGTGAGAAGACCTGTTAAGGATGCAGATTCCTCTGGGAACATATTCATGTATACTTTGATCATTTTTGCAGGAGCCAGAAGCCATGTGTAACCCAGATAAAATCTAAACAAAAATATTTCAAAACTCATTTTTGTTCAGGATTTGGTCAGATTCTCTTATTTCCCCCATTTTAGTTACGTGTTGGACCTATTCTGTTGAAACAATGGGGGGCAAGTTTACTAGGTAACTCAGCTGATGTAGGGACCATTAATTTTCTGAGCCACAATACAGAGTTATTGCACTGTTCTCTGTTTCTTAACACCTTAATTGGGGCCTTCTAGGTATCAAGCAAGTGTTTCCATGCAAGGCACAGGGAGACATCAGCTACCAAGGCCATCTCTTTCACTGCAACTGGCACTCTGGCCCAATCAGAATCTGAATTGGGACCTGCTTGTTAGTCCAAATGAAATCATTTTTCTGGGAAGTGGAAAGTGTCCTTGAACATAGACCTTTGTTGTCTAAAGCTGTAGTCCTCCAGTATGGTGCCTCAGTACTTGATGTGATCACCTTGGTTGTCCTGACCACTTTTGACTATCTTGTTTCAGTCAAGGGGTTAGCACTCAGAAAACCTGGAACCCCATTCTGAAGTTGTCATTTACTGAGTGACCTTGGCCTAATCTTTTCATTTCCTTTGATTTTCCGGTCCATAAAATGAGGGATAAGGGTTACACAAACCTAGAATTATTGTGCTCATTCTCTATTCATTTGGTAAAGTGGAACATCCTGGCCATCCCTGGCAAGGAGTTGAAAACAGTAAGCTGAGGGATGGAGGACTTGAAATGTCCCTTTGAAAGAAGCTTCACCTCTGGTTTAATTATCTAGTCAGAAGTATTGTGAAAGAATGTCCACAAGGAACTGCTTGACCCTAAATAGCAACAAAAAGCATACCTTAAACCTCAGTAAAATTAATGTGGGGTTATCCTTTGACCATTGGGTAATTGTACCGCTCCCCACTCAGAATTCTAATAGTTTTGCAAGGGTGTCATGGCCAAGGCAGGGCAGGGTGACTACTTTACTGTGTATCCAACTTCCATGGTTACAAATGGGAGTAGCCACCTGCCACCCCAGTCCTCAGGATCATTTTTCTGGCTAGGGACCACTTACTAGGACAAGCCTGCAGGATAAGGTGTTTAAGCCAGAAGGCAAGGCATGACTACAGCTGATCCCTCTGTGAATGAGCATGTAGGAAGAGTAGATGGGTTCAGCAGTTCTGACATAAACTATAGTTCTTGAAGAGGTTCTATGATTCTGGTGAGCCATTGTTTCTTTAGGGAGGGCCTAGCCTGCATCCTAAATCCTGGATCCCTCAAAAGCCACCACAGAGTTTGAATTAAGCAAAAACCTCAAGTCAGGAAGGAAAGTGAGCAGGGATGGGATCAGTGTTATTTCCTTACAAATGTCTTGCTTGGGATAAAAACGGTTAGTTTGACCACCCTGTCTCCAGGTACTGTCTTCTTATCCCAGCAGCAGCTACTTCCTTCATCACTTTGAGGGCAGCCTTTCTGCTTTACAGGATGGAGCATACTGGCCAGGAATCTCTTTGCCCTGTGCTCTGTCATTAACCAGTTGGCACTCTATCAGGAGCCACAGTCCTGGGATCCTTAAAATGGAATGAAGTGTTCTGTCAGTATAGGGTTTAAAGAAAATTATGTTAAAGCCAAGACACCAGTTGGACTAAACTGGCTCAGTCATTGCCTCTTTTTGCTGTGTGGACAATATGTTCCCACTGCTGCACTATCAAGGCCACCCCAGAAAACCTGGCTTCTGAAACCCTGGCTTCTCTACCATTTTAGTTCTGCATGTTGAGGAAATCAACTGAAAGGCAGTAGAGAAGATCCTGACCTTGGTGGGACCACTGAGGAAGTGATAATGGAACACTCATGTGCACAGACCCAGGGTTATAATTGGAGTCCATAAAATTAGCATTTAAACATCCCATTCCCTTCTCTGCACCCTCCCTGCCCCCATTACCTACCCTTTCCTAGAGGTCAACTTCTTTCTGAAAGGCCTCACCTTTATCAGCTTGATTCTGACATTCCACCTCTGAGCTGGGGGAGAGAAAGATGTGTAGATTGGGAGATGGAAGGAAGGGCAGAATCCCATTTTGTTGCATCACTGTGAGGGAGCTCCAAGTCCTGTTCCTGGTGAAATATTTGCTGTGTATAGTGGGGTTTTCTTGTACAAGCCTGCTCTTAAAAAAAAAACACCTCTATTTGCATATAACTATCATTCTTACTATTCTTCTGCCCCCTGCTCCTGGCTTATTGATGGCCCAAACCAGTTGCCTTGTCAAGTGTTAGTGGGCTATGGGGTCTTCTGTTAACTTCTGGTGATCTTTAGATGCTGCCTCCGTGAATACCCCTAACCCTGGGGATAGAGCAGCCAAGGTACCAATACAATCAAACTATCACTATTGTTAGCAATAGTGACTCAGAAGATTCGGTCGCTTCCACTTTCACCAGAAAGAGACCAAGGGCTCCTTGTGGTCACATTTTCTACTCCAACTACTCTTGGAATTATAACCTCCATTTCTGGCTCCAATTGAATTTTCTCCATCCAAACCCCAATAATAAATGGATCCATGATAATAATTAGGAGATGAGAGAAATATTTTTGTTAGGACAGACCATTGTAGTTTTTAGCAGTGTGTATATGTGTGTCATTCACAACTTTTGCTATTCTGCCTTTTTTAATTTTCCTTTTTTAAATATTATGTATTATATTTTAGTCTCAAACACTATATATTATATATATTTAATTTTTATATATATAAATATAAATGTTCTAAAAAGTACCATGTTTTGTGTTATTAATGTAGTAATAGTTCTAGTTACTTAAAAGCTTGCCTGGTTTGGGGTGAAATGGTCCAAATTTGGAAAAAAGGAGATTTTTGGATTAAGATTGCAAGCACTATATTTGTGTCACCTCCAAGCCGAGGAGCAAACATTTTATTCACCAGTTTGTGACTGTTGCAGAACTCTGACTATGGACAAACAGCTCAAGCTTCTGTTGTTTTGGAACACAGCATCCAAATGTTCTATGGCACATCTGATAATGGGGATGGGAAGGGATGAGACTGAATCTGAGATCCAGATTTCAGATTTTGAAGTAGAGGTTGGAGCAAGATGGGGTTCATTTATTAAAATTCAATGGTTTGGGGGAAAAGCAAAGTTATCAGGTCTCAACCTTTGAACTTGTAGTGAAACAAAATCAAACAAACAAACAAACAAACAAACAAAAAATGGTGTACATACAGAGACCATTCTGCTAAGAAATTCTAAATTCTATTTTGGTAGAGATTGCAAGGATTTCTCTTTGCTCATTTCCCAGGAGTGCTTGAGGATAATTAAAAATAATATTTTCAGATAATGTTTTTGAATGCCATTAATCAATAGAGATACAAATGTTTATAACTGTTCATTGTTTTTCTCATCTAATTAACAACCAACCAAACAAAATAACATTGACAGTAGCCTTTTTGTACACAGGACATAGGACACCATCAGGACAGTAGTTTTTTTTGTACACATAGAACATAGGATGTAGGACATAGGACATAATTGTAAGAGTTGAAAAAAAATAAAGGTAATGCAACCCATTTCCAAGAAGGTTGGGAGTTACATCCCAGAGCTACTACTGAATTAGAGACAAGGGGCAGTAGGGGCTACAGTTTGGAAGCCTATTTTCTTGATAAGAGCTTGTTGGTAGCCTAAGGCAAGTCTGACCTGGTTGGGAAAGAGGCCCAGGTGCAGGGTCAATCTTGAGGCTGTAGCCAGGTAAGTTGAACTGGCTCAGGCAAAACATGGCATGATAGTTGAGATCCAAAAGCAAATAGAATAGGAAAGGGGGGGAAGAGAATTAGCAAGTTTGTGCAAACATGGTGACCCTGGAATATTCTGTTAAGCCGTGTATTGTTAGATAGGATGCTTCCTGTGCTGTGTCCACTTGGGATGCATTTTATTCCT